GCATTAGGTCCTCATTTTTCCCCTCCCTTCCCTCTCCCCACTCCCTCATGAGCCCTTGATAATTTATAAATTGTTATTTTGTCATATCTTACCCTGTCCAACATCTCCTTTCACCCACTTTTCGGTTGTCCGTCCCCCAGGGAGGAGGTCACATATACCGCCGTGTAATTGGTTCCCTCTTTCCTACCCATTCTCCTTTCTACCCTCCCTGTATCGCCACTCAAGGACCCCCTTTTCAGTGGGATTGTGTTTGTCTTTTCTCCATTGACTACCACGTTGGCTGTTGTTTTTTCATATATAGCTTGTATTGTCTTGAGGAACTGTCCTTCCATTCTTATCTTCTCAAGATGTCTTAAACAGGAATTGGTGTTGGATATTGTCAAATGCTTTTTCTGCATCTATCAATATTATCATGTGGTTCTTATAATTTTTCATGTCAATGTGATGAATAATACTAATGGTCTTACATCATTAATTCTGTTTCTTTTAGTGTGAAAACCTTTTCGTGATTTTTGAAAAATGTGATATCAAAAAATATTTGCCTTTTTGCAGTTAACAAATTTTTCACTCAGCATAATGCCCTCCAGGCTCATCCATGCCATGAAGTATTTCAGATTCATTATTGTTATTGAACATTTCATAGTATTTCATTGCGTGTATCTTTCAGTAAGTGCTATAAGTCTGTTTACTTTCTGAAGTTAATGAGCCTTCCTCTAATTCTGATGCTATTGTTCTTCCTCTTGTTCAACTTCTTAGATTACTTGTTTAGCATACAGATTAAGTATGATGCAAGAGTACAACCCCGATGCACACCTTTATTTTAAATCATGTAATATTCCCTTATTGTGTTTGATCGATTGCCTCTTGGCCAATGTACACGTTCTACATGAGCACTAGTAAATATTGACGGTAATATGGAGAAGATTATTTCTCTGGTTAATAAGGTCCAGCTTTATAAATATGAGCGTTGCCCCACCTCTTAAAAGTACTAGTTTAATCCAGAGAGTAAGGTAGCATGACAAATGGCCAGTCTGATAGGTGGGCTCATGGTGATTGGGCTGATCCTGGGGAGATCTTGAATATAGATACATGAGGTTTTCTAACACATGCCCCCTTTGTGTAGTAGTAAGAAGAAGTAGCGTTCTGCAGTATCCGTTATTTTTGCATACTTACAGCTAGAGAGGGGGGTTAGATAGCATTGGGCAGGGGAAATAGACTGGGCAACAAGGTTTTTCCCTGGCAGGCAGAAGACAGGTAGACATGGGAATGCAGAGAAACCATTTGACTGTTAGGATGAGAGAGAAATGTTTAGGTGGAAGGACAACAGAATGGGGATGTTCTGGGTCATTATTTTGACATGACTGTTGTTGCGGGTACGAGTGTGCATTATAAGAGAATTGTAATAGGGAAAGATTGGAAGGCCCGAACTCTGAGGGATGTCTTTCAAACAGGAGCTGGACCTCAGCTGCCTTTTGGCAGCAAGTACAAGTACTGGGGAATGACATGCCTGTAGTTGGCTACCAAAAGTCCATCCTTCTGGCTTTCTTCAGTTAGGAAACGTCAGTAATATTTGGACATCTTCTTTGTTTTTAGTCATGGGACATATTTTTCCGCAACACGAATGCTGGAGCCCCCCCAGGCACTGCGTACCAAAGCCCCCTCCCCCTCAGCCAAGCCTCCCTTTCTGCCATCGCTGGAGCACAGTCCCTGGTGGAGGCCCAGCCCAATGTTGACAAGCTTGTGGAAGACCACTTGGCTGTGCAGTCTCTCATCAGGGCTTATCAGGTAAGACAAACGTAGACTAGATTTTGCCCACCTGGGAGGACGTGGCATTTTACAGCCCCTTGGGGTATCATCGTAGCCTTTCTAAGTGGGTTCTCCCTGTTTTGCCGTCTTGGGGGAGGCAATACATTAGATATTACAAGAAATAAAGAACTAGGACATTCTAACCCTATCGGAGTGAGGGCTCTGGCACCTTTGGTGCTTGCCTTGTAAATGGCTCCTTCCTCCTTTCAATAAGTTAGCAGGCAGTGATTTGTATATATAGAAAAACCCAGTCATCGTTTGCCCATCAAGGAAAAATAACTGGTCCTAGAAGTGTAAGCATTGACAGTGTGGCTGGACCACCCACGGGCAAGAACATCTGTTGGGTTAGTTATTGACCTTTCTCAGTTGCAGACAACATCTTATGAGAAAATAACACTTGTGTTGAGGGAAGAAGCAAAATTCTGAGAAAAAGGGAGAGGCAGGTGAAAGGATCACCCAAGTTTCCCAAAGATGGGTGAGGGATGAGGCTGATGGATGGCAGCCTCATCTCATGGGTATTGGACAATGGGGATTTTCTGCTAGTCCTTTCTCAAAATGTAATTGCCTAACTTTCAGAATTTTCCCAGGCTTTTGTGGGAGATAGCCCAGAATTCCCACCTGATCCTTAGAAATTTCTCAGTGTGCAAAGTTCAATGGAGGAGAGCAGAGGAGCAGCAAACCCATTGTGTTCCTGCTCACTGAAAAACCAAACTCACTGCCACCGAGTCGGTGCTGACTCATAGTGACCTTATAGGATGGGGTAGAACTGCCCCTGTGAGTTTCCAAGACTATAACTGCTCATGGGAATAGAAAACCCCATCTTTCTCGGAGGAACAGCTGGTGATTTCGAATTAAGGACCTTTCGGATCACAGCCCCGCTTGTAACCACTACACCACCAGGACTCCTCCCATAGCTCCTTGGTGTTTTATTTCCTGCTGCCCCTTCCATCCATGGCTGCAGGGAGGCCTCAGCCTCTGAACAAGTGGAATTATGCCACCAAGTGTGTTTTGCTCTTTGACTTTTGTGTGCTTCCTGGAGGTTGGCATATGGACCGTTTTCTTTATAATCTTGCCATCCAAGTTTTTCCACTGACAGTAGGGGGACCACGTGTTAAGTTGGTACCAGTATAGTAAAGGTGGCGGGTCCCTACTCCATTCCGTCATGGTCTAGGCTCCCTCCTGGAGGAAGTGGAGCCTTTTCCGCAGACAGGGGAGGCGGTCAGTAGTGAGCAGTGGCACTGTCTTCAGGTGAGATCCACAGTGGTGGTGGTGGCCACCAGCTGCATTCAGTCCACCGACGTCACAGCTTCAAATTGATCTTTTGGTGACGTGTCTGCTCCCCGTCTCAAACTGCTAGCAAGGTATTGTGGATAAACTGACAAAGGCGATAGAAGTTTGAAGACGTGTCCTTTTTAAAGCAGTTCACATTGGGTGATGTAAATCCATGCTGGGCTTTTGTTTTGTTCTGGTGGCTAGATGTTGACATAGTCACCAACAACCCCTGCGTTGCAACCTTCAGCTACTCACGTTGACCACATTCAAGGCAGATTTTTCTCTTAGGGAAACATCCACTTAGCCCTGGTGTTTCCTGTATCCCTCCCGAATCAAAAGTCAGCTCTTAAGCTGTCAGTTTTCCCCTGGAAGATATTTATGTTGAAAGTTGAAGTCGAGTTTAAGAATTCCCTGGCGGATCTCATTTCCGTTCATCCCGGGAACCTGGGGAGAAGCAGAATCTCAAGAAATGGATACTTAGTAGACTGCCAGAATTTATTAAAAGCTGAACAATGTATTCCTTTGAAATAAATGCATTTTTGCCCAAATAAAAATACCAGTCCATTTTGATGGAGTTGATTCTGACTCATAGCCCCCCTGTATAGGTTGTCTGAGACTGTAAATCATTACCAAAAAAAAATAATTGTAGCAAATAAATAAAAACATTTTTTTAAAAATCGTTACAGGAACAAACAGCCTCACCTTTCTCCCAGGGAGTGGGTTTGAACTACTGACCTTGTAGTCAGCAACCCAATACCTAACGCACAGCACCTTCGGGACTCATTTATGACAACAGCCTTTTAAAAGTCTAATTTTGTTGTATGAGTTTATTGGTGCTGAAAGTCTTCTCTGGAAAAGGTTTGTGTGAATCATAACTCTGTTAGCCTTTTTCATATCCCATTGAATCTGTTTAATGACTGATTTGTATTGTTGCTTCCAGGTCAGGGGTCACCACATTGCAAAACTTGATCCTCTCGGAATTAGTTGTGTAAATTTTGATGATGCTCCAGTAACTGTTTCTTCAAACGTGGGTGAGAATGAATTTGCAAATGCTAATTTTAATGTAATTTTACTTTTTTTTACCCCTCCCTCTTTTTTTTTCTCCTGTCCTTTTGTGTGTGTCCTTCCCTCTCCATTGTTGGCCCATCCATAGATACGAGGGCACCATGTAGCACAGCTGGACCCCCTGGGAATTTTGGATGCTGATCTGGATTCTTCCGTGCCAGCTGATATTATCTCATCCACAGACAAACTTGGTGAGGGTCCTGGGAGCAGTCAGTGCTGCGTTGCTTGAGTTCCTCTCTTCACAGCTTGTCACAGCTCGGCTGTCCACACACAGGAGGGAAAGACTCTTAAGTTTCCTGTTTTGATCACTTGAAATTCCTAGAGGCCACAGCTGGGTGTCCTGGAGTACATCTGGGCAAGTTACTTTTATCCCAGCTGTTCTGCCTGATTGCATCAGCTCAGGGAGCTAATTCTCAAAATCGAAAGAGAAAAGTTCAGACAGAAAATATTTGTGTTGCCAGGGGAAATAATGTCCACGTGCAGCCGTAGAGACCGGCGGTCTTTGAGCTTCCCAGATCTCCAGTGCAATGCTGCCCTTCTTCTCATGTGGAGGCCCGGCTCTCCTTGGTGAGGCCAGGAAGGGGCCAGGGGGCTCTGCTATTCACTTACTTTCCCATCCTGAGGGATGGGGGCAGGGGAGGGGGTGCTAATTTGGTTGGGGGCAGTTGTGTCCCGTGAAGGAGCAGATTTAGAGAAGGCTGTGCCGTTTGGGTTCTCCGATTCTCTTATTGGTGATCACACTGAGGAAACTTCAGAAGTGTTTCCACAATGTGCAGTGCCTGTGTGGAGCCACAGGCAAGTTGTTGCCATTCTTCCGCTCTGATTTTGATCATCACCAGGCCTGGTGCTTATGATGCGCAGGGCTGAGCTCTCATCCCAGTGGCTTTCTGAAGGTTAATCTGCTTTGAGTTAACTGAGCTGCTAACCGTACTGAACAAAGATTATGGCAACTAATTTTGAAATGGCCAAAATGTTCACTAGAAATATCATGCATGCTAATAAGACTGATAATTATTTGCATAAATACTGCTCTTGGGGAGTGGGATAAATTCTGCCTACTCTGGAAGCTCATTTGGGGGAAATGGTAAAGAATAAAGGGTATCTCTTAACCCTCTCCCCCTTCAGCTCTTCCATCCCTTCCCTTCTCTCCCACACACGTGTGTCCTAAAACTCCCAAGGGACCAACCGTCTGCTGACTCCTGAATATCCTTGGACCTTAGAAACACCATGTTTTCTGCTCTTGCCAAAGCCTTGAGTGTGTGCAGGCTACCTCCCAGGACGGGGAGCTGATGCCCTTTGCTTAGTGCGGGGCAGAGTCTGCTCAGCCTGTGAATCCTCTGGAGTAGTGCTGTGCAGGGTTGATTGCCTTACAGAGCCTCCTTAAGGAAGAGCCAGGGCTCTCCTCCGTGGGCGCACTCCACGGAGACGTGAGACAAAGATAGCCACCCGTGAGCGCATTGGGAGTTCCTCATGTCCGGTGAGATATCCAGCTGGAAAGGAACAGAGAAGGTGACAGCACCTCTTCTCCCTTGAGAGAAACACTTTCCCAGTTTCTTCCACACAGGTGTTCACCGTTGTTTCTTGTGATTTTCAACCTTGACTCACATGAGAATGACCTGGGCGCTCTAGAAACTATACTCTGTCCCCACTTCAGACTTTCTGAATCAGGAGGGTATGTTAGAATGGGTTCTCTAAAGAAGCAAAGCCAGGACACTTAAGAATATATGTAAGGAGAGAGAGAGAGAGAGAGAGAGAGAGAGAGTGTGTGTGTGTGTGTGTGTGTGTGTGTGTGTACATGTGCAAAAGGAAATTATAACAGCAAAGCAGCCCACATAGCTGTACAGAAAGAGCTCAGTCTGACTCATTGTCGTGGGTCAGTTAATACACTGAGGGTCTTTCCAACTCAGGCAGCTACTAGGCCAAAGTCCAAAGCAGCAGGAGGTAGACAGAAGGTGAGGCGTGGTGAAGTGTAGCAGAGCCAGTAGCACCATGAGGCGAAACTAGTCATTGTGGGTCCTCATGGTGTGACAGTGTGAGACATCCAACAGGCAGTGAGGTGGGGCAGCCGGTCCGACCAAGAAGGGAAGGAACAAAAGGGGGGGTGACCAGGCTCCAGTGCATCATCTTACATTTAGGCCACAACCTGATTGATAAACTAGATTCCACCCATCTTATCTTACAGGTGCCAAGTTGGCACAGAAAAACCTAACCATCACAGCATGAGTTTTTTGAAAATTTTCCAAGTGATTCCAATCCACTATTGTCTCTTCTGGGTGAGAAAGCCTAGAGCCGATTGCTATGACCGATTCCTAAGATCTGCATGCCTTTGTGGTGGAGCCAGGACCAACATCTCCTTACTCTGGTGCTGTTTCCACATGATTATGGGCCACAGAGGAGCCTTGGTGGCATAGTGAATTATTTCTTAGCCCGCAGTTTGAAACCATTAGCCGCTCTTGGGAAAAAGATAAGGCTTTCTACTCCCACTAGGGTTTTTAGTCTCAGAAACCCATCGGAGCAGTTCTACGCTGTCCTGTAGAGTAGTATATAAGGCAGCCTCGACTCCTTGGCAGTGGGTGCTAGTACTTTTATGGGGTCTCACTGTGGGCAGGGTGGTACTTTTCTGAGGTGCGTGATTCTGGGGTTGACAACCACAGAGAGGTAATGAAAGTGGGCAAGAGGACTTTAAATGTTTTGAGATTAAGACAGGTAGCCATAGAGCTGCTGTTTTTTAAAATCCAGAGTCTGCTGATTGTGTTTTAAATCAATTTGGCAGGGGCATGTCATTTTTGGTTTTTAGAAATTGATTTTGTTTTCGTTAAAAATATACACAGAACAAACATTAATTCAGATATTTCTGTACAAGTCATTGATGTTGACTACACTTTCCCAAGTTACACAACAATATGCCCCCACTTTGTCAGAATTGTTTCTCTACAATTGACATAAATTCAGTGCCCTCTAAGTTTTCTATCTAACCTTTCCAAAGTGCCCATTGTCAGTTTAATCCCATAGAGTTCATTTAAAAAAACAAAATGCTAGGCATTCTTGGGTTTACAACAGACATTCAGGGGCACAGAATTTCCTGAAATCATTTGAGGAAGGGGCCTTTCAGGAGTGGGTAAGACTAAGGCAGAGAGCAGCGCCACTTTGGCGGAGTGGGGGAGTAAATTTTCACCCTTTGAATTTTAAATAGTGTGGCATAAAAACATTAACAAATTTCTTTAAGTATAAAAATTAAAATATTAATCTATTGGGGAAAATAGCCTTGCATTATCTGACCCTTGATTTATGCAAGACTTTCAAAAAAACAACTCGTCAAAAACTGTTACACTATATATTAATATAGTACTTGGTATTCATGATCTCCTCAGAGCCTAAACTCTGAAGAGTCTCTAAATTAGAACCCAGCTCTCCATTTCTAGCTGTGTCTCCTTAGATTACTTGACAAATATGATTACTTTTTAGAGAACTAAGGTTTCCCCAAACCAGTCAGTCCTAAAGTGTGAGGTGTTTCCGTGTGTGTGTGTGTGTGTGTGTGTGTGTGTGTGTGTGTGTGTGTGTGTAGGGAGAGGTGGCACTGGCTCCCAAAGCAATGCCTACGTTTTATCCTGGATTGTTGGCTGTACTACAAAAGTTTTTAATGGCCAGGGAGGTGCTCAGTATTTTTTTCTCTTTTTCTGAAAACGGGGCAATAGAACAAATAAGTTTGGGAAATTAGGGTCTAAACCTAGTGGAAGCCCAACATTTAAGAGAGTTCTTAATTTTCTCTTTCCCCATGAGCATCCATGAATGGATGCTCCTTGTATCTAGACCCTGGTTTCCACAGCCGCCCCCCCCCCCCCCCCCCCCCTTAAGGCCTTGTAGGCCAAGTTCCACAGCAGCCTCTCCCCAGTTGGAAAAAAAACCTGTGTGCTTTCTGTAAGTGACAGCTAGAATATCTTCTATTGTTTCTTTTTTGGGTCTGTGCCATTTTCTTGCCTTTTATTTGAAAATTAAAAGACACAGAAACAAAAGTATCCACATGGCCACTCCCCAGAAGGAACAGTGTAAACATCTTTAATGTTTTTAGATTTATTTTTCACAGAACTAGCCCGGTTGAAGTCCCCTTGAGACCCTTAGCTTTTGTGTCCCTTGCCAAGAGACAACGGAGTATTGAGCACACAGTTCCAACCCTCTTTATTCTGGGGATAAGAGGATAAGTGGAAAATTTCTTTATGCTTGCCTTAAGCAAAGCATCAAAACTTCTATGTTGAATTTAGGTGTTTTCTTAGGACAGTTTTATGCCTTTGCCCTTTGTGTGTTTTGCTGCACCTGTCTAAGAAGATTCTCCTTACCCAGCGTGCTTTTCAGAGTTTGGCGCCGTTGCTGGGATTCCTGGAGAACAAACCTGCCTGACCCTCCTTGAATCGGTTGTAGTCAGTTCTTTGCAGCAGCTTCAGAGGATGCACCACCTTTCCTTTGCCCCCATTTGCTTCCGCAGTGACAGTGGTCACAACACATAGAATTCAGCTGTCCACACCTCTGTGCGTCCTGTGTGTCAGCAGTCTATTAAACTTCCTGGCTCCATCAGTCTTGAGTGTATATTCCCAGTCCCTGGGAGTTAGGACAAGTTGTTGTGTGCAACCAGACAAGAATCTTGATTTTTACCAGTGGCAAGCAAAGTTCAGGGAGCCTTTGGATGTAACAGAAAACCAATGAACAGTTTATAGTAGTTAGAAATGTTAGCTAGCTGTACATTTCTAGCTGTCTGTGACTCTCAGCTAGTAACCTCTTCTGTTTTAGTTTGGCTTTCTGGGGAGGGATGACAATCAGGTCTGTGGGACAAAGGGCCCTTCCTCCATTCTTTTTAATCCTTCTGAGTCTTAAAAGTTGGAGTCTTAGCAGGCTACTTGTCTGGACATTCAGTTCTGAAGTATGTGTCCTACGAAAGAGTCCTTTTCACTTGTCTAATTTTCCATCCTGAAGTTGTGTGGACCACAGATGTATTTGACTTAGAACTGTGCCAGCTCCTTTGTCAGAATAGGAAAATGAGGGGACCTCAAACCACGCTGCCTGATAACTTCCAAGTGTCAGGGAGCCCTGCTTTCCCTGTTTTCTGAGTCACCTCATTCCAGCTGTTGTCACGTTAACCAAAGTAGTTCTCACTTACCAATCACCTAATCAGGTAAAGCACCATCTCTACTCCCTGTGTGTGTGTGTGTAAAGCTGTCTGTGTCCTCTCTATTGTTTTAATGCTGTAGTGTTATGTGGATTTTGAGTTTGTTTTTTTAAAACTAATTCTCAACTGTCTTTTTCCTTCTGCACTTACGCATGCTACCTCACTCTGCCTCTCAGATCTTGCAGTTTTCAAGGAACGGCTTCGAATGCTAACAGTAGGAGGTATGAAAATAATGAGCCTTTCACCTATGTGGAGTCAAGGATGCTATTTGACTAGGATGTTCAACTTTTTAGCATGCCATTTGGGGAAAGTTGACAAAATTTCCATCAAGTGTTTGATGATTGTTTACTGTTTTGAAAAATGTTTACCCCTTTGTTTTAGTCATTAACCAGCTAGTAATTCCCCCTGTGAAAGATGGTATTTTTGTTTCCATTTTGTGGTCTGTGGAGCATTTTTCATCTCCATGTGTGCTTATTGACTTTCACTGCAGCCCCCCCTCCTCCATTTGTCTCTAGCCACTGCTAGACTGTCCTGAGCTCATGCACCCAGCTGCATCAGTGGCATCCATCACCATGTTCTATTCTGCCCTTGACCAGTCAGTCTGGATTCTTTCAGATTCTGCGCACGGTCATTTTGACAAGATTTCCCTTTTGATCTCGCTCATGTTTGAAGGACTCCTGAACAACTACTAAGGACTTACTGGGAATCTTAATGGTCCTTGTTTCTGGACAGAGTGCATTTGAGAATCCAGAGTTTCGATGCTCTCTGTTCGCTTTCACACATAGCCAGTCTCTCCCTCATCCCCTCCTTCAGCCAGTGCCTTCTCCAAGCGTCTCTAAGATCCTTTTCCATCATCCTTATTATTATCTATGAGACTAATAAAGATTTGCACTTTTCAATTGTTTGATTTTGAGGTGATTGTACATTCACATACAACTGTAAGAAGTAATACAGAGAAATCCTATGTGTCATTTTCTCAGTTTTCCCCGGGGGTAGCATCTTAAACGATCACACCAAGGATATTGACACTGATCCAGTTAAGACACAGAACATTCTAGTCAAGACACAGCACATGTGTCCCTACCACAGGGTACAGTCATGTTGACCTTGTGTAACTACTCTCCATGTGTTTTCTTACACCACCTCTTCTACTCCAAGCAATGATTTATTTTGTCTGTTTCTATAATCTTGTCATTTCAGCAATGTTATATAAATGGATTCACAGAATAGACCCTTTTGGGGTTGAGTTCTTCCACTAAACATAATTCTCTGGAGATTCATGAAGGTTGTATATATCACAGTAGTTCTTTTTGTTGCTAAGAAGCAGTCTGTGGTAATGACATTTATCCATTGAAGTGACAGCTGGGTTTTTTACATTTTGACTATTAAGAATTAGACTGCTATAAACATTTGTGTGAATGTAAGATTTATTTCTATGGCAGCAAGGCCTGAGAGTATAGTTACTAGAATGTGTCGTAGTTGCATGTTTAGTTTGGTGAGAAATTGCCCCCCTTTTGCAGATTGATTGTACCATTTTACACTCCTACCAACGAGTTTTGAGTGATAGGGTTTTTCTGCATCTTCACCAGTGTTTGTCATTGTTGTTTTTTTCTTTTATTTTAGTCAATAATAGATGTTTAGTGCTATTCCATTGTAACTTTACTTTGCATTTTTCCAGTAGCTGATGAGGTTGAACATCTTTTCATGTGTTCATTTGTCACCTTCATATAGTCTTTGGTGAAATATTTCTTTATTTTTGCCCATTTTCTAATTGTATTATTTTGGTTATTACTTTTTTTTTAACTGTTGCATTTTTAGAGGTTTTTTTTAATAGTTGTGTTAGTCTGGGTGGACTAGAGAAACAAATCCAGAGACACTCGTGTGTAAGAGAGCTTTATATCAAAGAGCACTTGTATTTTAAGAAAACATCCCAGCCAAGTCCATTTCAAGTTCTTAAGTCCCATATTAGCCCATATGTCCAATATTAGTCCACAAACTCCTCTGCAGACTCACACAGCACATGCGATGATGCCGAATGCAGGAAGATCACAGGCAGGTGGGTGGAAAGTCTTGTGGATCCAGTGATGGTGATAGAAACATCTCAGCGCTGGCATGGGTCTCCACGGGGCTCCTCCAGCTCCAGGGCTCTGGCTGCCATCAGCGTGGCTCAGTGTGGCTTGTCAACAGGAATGTGAAGCAGAGTGAGAGTGTGGCCCTCATCCAGGGAGAAAGAGAAACTTCCCAGAATCCTCATGAGGAGGTCACACCCGCAAGGAGTCATCATCAGACTGTGACCTGATTGACAGGCTAGATTCTACCCCTTCGTTCTTCATATTCTCAAGTTGACACGAGATTGTGTAATTACTGCAAGAGTCCAGTTCTTAAGTGGGTACAAGAACTGCTTTGTAGTCTCTTAGGGATTTTTTGCATAGTAAAAGTATTACATTTGAATGTAGTTCAGTTTATCAACTCTTACCTCTCATGGATTATGCTTTTGGTGTCAAGTTTAAGAACTCTACCTCACCCTATAAGGTTTTTTCCCCCACCTATTTTTCAAAGCTTTATAGCTCTACATTTTACTTTTAAACTCCCCTCCCATTTTAAGTTAAATTTTGTATAAGGTCCAAAACCATACCAAGATTAGGGATTTTTTCCCCCAACACTATTTATTGAAAAGGCTATTTTTCCTCCATTGCATTTCCTTTTGCCCTTTATCTAAATTCCTTTGGCTGTACTTGTAAACGTCCCTCTTTCTGAAGTCTCTGACCTGTTCCTGTCATCTGTCTGTCCTGTCACCAAAGCCACGCTGTCACTGGAGAGCACTAGCCTTCAGAAAGGGAAAACCTCCTCTTGCTCAAAATTCTCTGGCTAGCTAAGGCCTTTGCCTTTTTAGAACATTTTAAAATAAGCTTGTTTTATCTAGATGTTAAAAAGCACTTGAGATTTTGATAATAATTGTGTATAAAATCAATAGACTATTTAATGGAGGATTGTGTTTAATCTTTCATTTGTGAACATGATATGTCTCTCCATTTACTTAGAGATTCTTTGATTTCTCTCACCAGTGCTTTGTAGTTCTCAATCCTGTACGTATTTTAGATTTAGCTTATTTTTTTAAATGCTGGTGTCCATGTGTTCATTGCTGGTAGGTAGAAATAAAAAACAAACTTATGCATATCTTATCTCGTGGCCTAGTTTATCCCTTGGATTTTCTGTCATTGTGTCATCTGCAAATAGGAACAGTTTGATTTGTATCTGATCTCTGCATTTTTATTTTTTTTCTTGCCTTATTGTACTGTCTAAGTCTTTTAGGGCTCTGTTTAATAAGAGTGGTGACATCTCGGCCCTGTTCCTGACAAGTATAATGTTAGCTATATATATTTTTTTATAAGTAGATCATAACTTCCTTATCTAGCCCATTGTACTTTTATTTTTGAGAAATCTTCTTTATCCAGGTAAGATTCCTTCTATTCCCATTTTTCTGGTAGTTTTTATCATGAAAAACTTTTTTTTAAGTGCTTTTTCTGCTTCACTTATGATTGAGTAGTATTTTACTTAATAATAGTAGATTACATTGATTTTTTTATTGTTAAAATATTATGTTTTTAGTGAAAGCTTGCATAAGTTTCAGTTTCCATTCAATAATATTGACACCAGTGGTTCACTGAAATTGGTTACATTCTTCACATTGTTTGGACATTCTTTATATTTCTATTTTGGTAGCTCTGTTTTCATTATTCTAATTTTCCTGCTCTTCCCCCCCCCCTCTCATTTTTTCTCTTTTTTTAATAATTAAATCATTTTATTGGGGGTTTGTACAACTCATCACAATCCACACATACGTCCATTGTGTCAAGCACTTTTGTACATTTGTTTCCCTCATCATTCTCAAAACATTTACTTACTACTTGAGCCCTTGGTATCAGCTCCTCATTTTTTCCCCTCCCTCCCCGTTTCCCTCTCCCCCATGAACCTCTGATAATTTATAAATTATTATTATTTTATCATATCTTACCCATTCCCACGTCTCCCTCACCCACTTGTCCGCTGTCCGTCCCCCTTGGAATCTGGTCCCCCCTTTCTACCTCACCTTCCCTCCACCCTCCCGGTATCACCACTCTCACCACTGGTCCTGAGGGGTTCATCTGCCCTGAATTCCCTGTGTTTCCAGTTCCTATCTATACCAGTGTACATCCTCCGGTCCAGCCAGATTTGTAAGGTAGCATTGGGATCATGATAGTGGTGCGTGGAGGAAGCATTCAAGAACCAGAGGAAAATTGTATGTTTCATCATTGCTACACTGCACCCTGACTTGCTCGTCTCCTCCCCGTGACCCTTCTGCAAGGGGATGTCCAATTGTCCACAAATGGGCCCTGGGTCCCCACTTGGCACTCCCCCACATTCACAGTGCTATGATTTTTTTGGTCTTTGATGCCTGATACCCGATCTCTTCAACACCTTGTGATCTCACAGGATGGTGTGTTCCTTCCCTGCTCTTTATATTCTTTTTATTTAAAAGTAATTGTTGACCCTTTGGTGTCATGTAGATTTTTTTTTTTTAAGGAGCACAGTACTTATGGGTAATGAGAAATTGTTATTTAGATGCAAGATGAACTACCAAGTTAAGATTTGCTTCAAGGTTGAAGAGTACCTCACAGTAGTAGACTCAAGGAGTCTTTCAATCAGTCCAGTAGGTCTGCTTTTTAAAAATTAATTTTGGGAATTTACTTATCTGGCTTTTTCTGTAGACTCCATTCTGTAGGGTCTGTCTGTCATGGCCTTGATCAGAAAGTTCAGATTGATAGCCAGATACTCTCTAATTCTTCTGTTCAGAGATTAAATGAGACTGTGGGTCATGCAGACTATTAGTCCTTTACAGTAGTTCCTATGAATAGTATTAACTTTTATTCTTTTTCTCTTGCTTTGGGTAAGTAGAGACTAATACTTAATTTAATAGTTGTATCTTAGATAGCCGCTTGCAAGATTTTAATGCCCCAGACTAGGTTGTAAAATGTAAACTTTATGAATTATATTCTCATTCCACAAGACTATTGTCCTAGTCCTTCAAATCAGGAAACAATCCTGTGATGTGTTTGGTTGTACCTCAAATGTATCTGAAATTATCCCCTCATGTTCTTTTGTTTTATGGTCACATCTATGCATACATGTTTATATGTGTGTGCTTATATATATATATAGTGTCTTTGTACATATGAAAGCT